CTGAGAATGTATCTACCTGTGGGGTTACACAACGAGGTTAATGGTGAGCGCCGTCGAAAAAGGGCTCGCGTGGCTTCGAACATTTGAGCCGAATGGCTTGACTGTTCGATAGTGGTGAGTTTCTCGTCGATGAAAGCTCTAGCGAGAGCTTTGCTGCGATCTCGAATCCGGTGAAGAAGTCGATTTCGTCTGAGACGTAAGCCTTGACGTATTGCCTATGGTCATTGTAGATGAGCTGCCGAAGTTGACGTTGTTCGTACGAGAGGCGGGAAAGCTCGGGTTCCACCTCTTTAGTATACCTGACGAGCGGCATGTAGCCAACTGAGTCTACCTCAGCCTCTAGCGCAGAGTAAAGTATACTTGTCCAGCGTTGGTCCGAGGTTGTCCGTTGATGCGGTAAATCAGCAAGGTTGTACGCAAGAAGTTGTCGATACAGGGTGCGATACTTGCTGTCGCGGACGAGGAGATGTGTCGCTAAGCGCGTTTCAGCGTCGCTAGATCGCACTTGTTCTTGACGTCGGCGTAGTCCGCGTAGAGCGCTGAGATCGAAGTCGAGCGTGACAAGCTTGTGATCCGACGGTGTGAGAATTGCGCGTTGCTGCATAATGTCTTTGTCCGTTGGCTGCAGATAATGTAGGCATTTTTGTCCCAAAGATGCAGTGGGTTTTGAGTCGGAGTGTCCATGTCGTGATGTTGCGCGCGCGTTTTCTGAAAGCTGTGTTGGTAATGAAAAACTCGTTAGCGTCACAGAAAGAGGCGAAATGTGGCCGTTGCGATTCCGTCGACCACGGCCCCATTGCCCAAGAAATGATTCATGTTCGCGACGTTATCCAAATTTTGCGTTAAAGTCACCAAGAATTTATGTCGTGTCGCGTTGGGGGAGCCGAGAGAGCGCTGTGGTCAGGTCAACGTAAAAGCTGTCAACTGCTTTAACAGGATATCCGCTATGGGATGCATATACGTTGACAATGTTCACTCGTTGAGCCTTAGGTAGACGTAGTTGGAGAACTAAAACTCAGTCAGATTGGGCCCAGTATCGGTAAAGAAACCTGCGTAAATGGGGAGCAATCGCAAAACCAATTCTATGCACGTTTGGAGCATGGGAGTGTCAGGAGATGATACGTACCGGTCTTTTGCTCACTTTGGAAAGCAATACGAGTTTCTTAGATCCCTAAGACGTCGATTTTGTACGTCGACAGGTCTCGTGGAAGGGTCTCATGCTGCTTACGCTGGGAACCAATGGACTGGACATTAAACTTACCTAAGCGAAGATGGCGAGAATGCTTCGTGCGTGGCTGCGTGCGTCGTGGCGGCTTGGCTGGCGGCTGGGGGTGAGAGAAATTAGAGAGAAGTGAGTTGAGGGAGAGACCCGTCAAAGACTGACGGATGCCAAGACTGACTTAGATTATATAAAAATTAACTAAATATAAATCAAACTACTGATTGGTGAAATAAAAAAGATTAGATACGCGTCTCTTTAACATCGTATCCTTACGTGCGAGCGTAAAATATATTATTAAGCTCGCTGATGACGTTTGTCTGAAGCGTCACCATGACGCCCAGTCCCAACTGGCGTCATCCCCGGTGAATGTGAATCCATCCATGGACATTACATTCACAAGGGTAGGCCACATGAATGTGCCATACCCAAATAGCAGTCCTAAGGTACCTCGTACCCTTTTAGGCCTGCCCGTTAGTATTCGATACGAACCGAGTAACTTTTAGCTCGTTACAATACTGCAGGGATGTCGCTCTTTATTAGTGAGATAGTCAGTTGCAGTGATAATGAGACCCACTCAAGCTTTATTACATGGAGAAACGCTGCTCAATGTGTACAGTTAATTAAATTTCATTGAGCATTTTTTCGATCACCAAAAACTAGGCGGTAAATGCTACGATAAATGCTTCCCATCATAGAAGTAGGATGCAGACTGCCGTAACCAATAAATTTACCATAGATAATTGAATCGACTCGATTCATATAGACTGCCTGAATGAGCTTAATGCTTATAACCTCTAGCTGTCCAGAGAATTTCACACATGTGCTTAACTATAGTTGTAATTACCTCTTTTTATAGATATTGAACCCAAGCAACATGAGAGGAAGGACAATTATGTTGGTTGTAGGTGGTTGAATGCACGTTTGCACAAATTGTTTAATAATGAAAGTGGGAAATATGTTTGGTGTTAATTTCTCTACTACCACATGCAAACCGTGCGTTACTGCAGCTATACCACGTCGCGGTCGTTCTCGGTACGCTCGGTCCCGCCCATCACCATGTGATGTCCCACCTGGTCTACCCATCACTATGCGATGGTCCGACGTGACATCCGGCAGCCCTTATCCCACATGTCACCAGTCTGGCCAATCAGATGTCGTCGCTCTTTACCTGTAACAGGTCTTGCACTTGAACCTCAACGTCGTGATAACCTGTCCAATCTAATATTCGCTAACGAATTAATTCTTACCAGAAGCCCGGCATGTTTTACAGTGATCGTCATCCAAATTGCTTGAGCAAAAGCCGGACACTAATGCGTAGGTTTGGTTTTATAATGGTCCATAACGATTGGCCAACGATCCGTTAGTCGTTTCAATCCTTTTAGTGCGTCGGATATTGAAATCTTATCGAGCTGCTAAAGGAGTGAGTACTCCGGACGGCCAACTGTGTTGGGTCTGCGCTATACTATATTGGCGACTTCAAAGACTCAAACTTCGTCTCACAAAGTAAACCATTGCCCTCATACATACTGCAAGTTCAACTACATCGGTTATACACCAGCAAGTTAATAATTGCATCTTCACCCGACGTTAACTTCATTTGTCGAGGTGCCGCCACAAAGCGACAAATCGTGTTGGCTCAAGTCGTTCATTCTTATTGTCATTACACACATCAGAATCGTTCACATCTCTGGTGCGGGCATCTTGTCGCCAATCTGCTACAGAAATCGAAAGCTCCGACGGTCCTATCATGCGTTGCCTTAATCGGCTTGTGCTTAACCTCTCGTCGGAGAAGCAATTGACAGTGGCGCATCAGCATCTGGAGCTAACGAAAGCTGTCACTTACAAAAACATCGCCTCGATTGATTACCCTGTCCACAAAATTCTTTAAATATATCAGCGCTTACTATTGCTACCATTTTTACTTGAAAGTCAGCATAGGTCTTCCAGTCTTCGCCGATCTGATTTTTCAAGTATATTTATCGGCTTCGGTTTCTTTCAAGCCGACTTCCATGCTTGACCTCATAACCCTATCAAAACTCAGATGGGTATCCATCACTGCAGTGAAATGTGGAGACATGATGATGATCAAGGTGTCTATTAAATCTTTATAATTATTTATATTATGTCGTTTGTAATGGAAATCCCCTGATGTTTTGCCATAACTACGTCGTTCTCCTATGCACTAGCTCCTTCTGCTGGTGTAATCCGACGGGCTTTACGGGGGGCACTCCAAAAGAGCACGTGGGACCGTTTGACCAACCTGAGGCGCCTTGTAAATGAGGCCGGATACCAGACCGGCTACCCAGACGGCCATCCCTGGACATGAATCAGAATGGACTAATCCACGTTCTACGGGAGTTCGATTCGTGGGACCGAAATTCGTGCTCGGCGAACGGGTCGGTAACTACAAGGCGGAACGGAGAAGGACAGCAAATTCTCAATACCTTATTGTCGAGTGTTTGTCGACGTCCCACATCTCGGGACTTCGTGCCTATTGCTCCCCGTCAGGTTTGCACGCGCGCACCCCCCCCCCCCAGCGGAGGTAAGACCTTCCTTTTTCAACCTTGACCCCGTTATGAGGGACGCAAACCCAAGGTAAAATGCCGGCTCTTTAAAGGCCTTTGTCGCTTGACCGTTGTTGCTCTTATGCCATTATTGGGAAGTAGAATTTGTGGAGACTTAAATGTTCCAAGTATTCGCTCCAAAAATTAATTAAACACGGAGTTGTACATCAGGCTTTGCTAACAAAAGCAGCGGAAAATTCATGGAATTTAGCTAACTATTGTCTGACACCACCACGGAAGGACTAAACTGTATTGCACTCTTGATTGACGTCGAGGACAAAATTTCGTATTGAATGCATTATTATGCAACAAGAGAAGACAATGGATGACCAATGCAATTGTGCTTTATTATGCTACAAACATCGCTTTTGAGCCGTTTATAATTGATTTATTGCGTCGCTTTACGTTTCCCTGTAGTCTGCGTTGCATGTATCACACTCATTTTGCATCCAGTATACGGGCAAGCTTTGATCGAAGCTGACGTAAAACATGTCTATATTGTTACTTCAGTAAATTGTGACTTTAAGTGACTAATTTTGGTTTACGGTAAACGAGAATTGCACGTAAAGAGCCAGTGCGTACGTTTTTCAGCTCCCGAATCTAGAACGTTCTCTGGCATGTCGGCTGGGTGAATAATACTGAATGTATATTTTATCGTTAATTTCACCCGTCCTAAGAGCCGTTTCCTGCAGTCGATACAAAAAACAAGATATAAAGTTTCCGAGACGTTCTAACCACTCGTTTTGCAATTCTTTGACAATTTATTTGCAATTCATTTGCAATTCATTAGGGCAAAACGCGAAGAAAAGCCGCGTGGCAGCTGAGGGAAAAGAAAAGAATTGCGCTTTTCGAGAGAGAGTGCGCACGCCGTCATTTACTTTAGCAGGACAGCGACTTGAGTGACTCGATACCCCTTGAATAGCATAAACAGCGAAGTAGTAGAGGCAGGACAGTCGTAGTACTTCACTAGCCCGACGGCAACACTCACAGCAGCTCTCATCACCACCGGACCATCGCCTCTGAGCTTGTTCTAGGCATTCCCGTATAAGACGGATATCATTTTTTGCAGGTAAAAACCATACCGTAAATAGTTAAAAAGAAGGGGGCGGTATATGACGTTATTCTTTCTATGGCTGTTATACTGCAGTCAATTGCCTTCAAAATACACAACAACCCCATTCATTGTACACAAAACATCACAAACAGGAAAGAACATGACGAGCGATTGGATTTTTACCGAGCAGGAGATGCGCTCTACGCCTTCGATACGTGATGGCATGAAGTACGCAGACGAGCTTATCTTTCGTCGTAACGCCTGTGACTTTATTGAGAAGATGGCAAAGGCTTTGGACTTGCCGAAGCTTGCTCAGATCAGTGCAGACAATTTCCTTCATCGCTTTTACATGCGGCAGTCACTTGTACGCTACGACAAGTTTTTGGTTGCAGCTGCATGTGTACTACTTGGCTCTAAGGCTGAAGAAAGCCCGAAGAAGATTGGTTACGTTGCCAAGGAATACATTGCTGTACGCAAAATTGTGGAGAAAGACCAGGTGTTTGCTATTCAGAAGCACGAACCGCAAGTTATTGCGAGCAAGATCATCTCGATGGAGGGTGTAGTTTTACACAATTTAACGTACGAGCTGACACTGACGCATCCGTACAAGTACATTAACGAGAAGGTAGACAAGGTGGTGCGTCTACAGCATCTGAGTGAACAGGAGGCTAAGGTCCAGAGCAGCAAGATCAAGCAAGTGGCGTGGTCTTTTTTGAATGACAGTGCCTATACGGTGGCGTGTTTACGACTTGAGTCGGTGGAACTGGCAGCTGGTGCAGTGTACCTAGCGGGCCTCTACGAGAGCTACGTGCCAGAGGATTTGTGTACTGTTAATGGCCAGCCATGGTGGAGTGCGTTGACGACTCCTCTTCATACCTTGCAAGGTATTGCCATGCTTGTGAACATTGTTCTCTTGTATATGGTGCTGGCAATTGTTAAAGAAAGCTCTGTTCTCCTCCATTTGTCTAGATGCGGCTCGCTACTTGCTCAACGCTTACACGGCGCCGTACATCAAAACGAACGTGCTTGCAGCTGGATTGTCGAAGTTAGTCTATTTGTTTCATCCACCAAAGCCGGTCGAGAGCCCCGCGTCGTTCGTAGAATTGGACGTCGTGGTGCTAGAACACTCGTCGCCCATGGTATCTTCGCCGATGGACTCCGCTGCGTGCGTGACGTCTCCGGAGTGTGGTAATAGCCAAGGCCGATCACCGTCTGACCACGACTTTGACCACGACGTCAAGTTGCATGTCAAGGATAGTAAGGAAAGCCTCCGCGAGGTCGCGCAGGTTCCTGCGGCGCCCGCATTGCTGCTGGACAGTTTCCCTATTGCCAACGATAGATCAAGTGCTGACAAGTTGTTGGGAAGCACTGCAGCAATGCGAGCGGCGAGCAGTGGAAAAGTCGTTGCGCGCAAACGCGGTAAGGATGCCGAAAACATGTTTTGTTCCGGAAAGAAGATGAAGTACTGCATGTAAGACGCTGCGGCGCGATAGTGAGCAGTGGGAGGCACCTCTTTCGACTGGCTCTTCACAAGCTGCCAATCCTTTTTGAGCCAGGGGCTCGACACGGTGAGTTCGCCAGACAGCAACAGGCTTGCGGCTACACACGTCCCCTCGTCGCTTTCTCGACAGCACCCCCTGTCAACAACGCAGCACTAAAGCTCGAGATGCCGCCATCAATTTAGAAAAAGTAAAAAAGCGTTAAAAGCTCAACAATAAAAATTATTTATACACGCACCTACCTCAAGTAAATGACGCACCACTGTCCCTCATGCATGCTACAAGTACAACGCCATAGTATGAGCCAGCCAACACAACGATAGCAACCAAATGTGTGCGAGTATTACAAACATCGAGCCACGAACCGATACAACGGAGGCCAGAGCTCACTCGCATGCTCATCAAAGTCATCCCATCTCTTCAAACTCATTTCACCAGATCTCATTTGCTTCAGTATCGAAGAAAAAGCCCCAGACTTGCCATATCGTTAAGGAAGACAAACATCCCTATAATCTTCCTTGACGCCCACCAGTCGCAGCTTTTGGCAAGAGACACAGAAGACAATAAAACTCAATTTAGTGCATACAATGAAATAGAAATACAAGACATTTACATGAAATAAATGAATGAAAACAAGCATTCATAGCTTTCATTCCAAGTATGTGGCTTTATCCACAATCCATTCCGACTTTCTATTGTAAAAACAAACTCACTTTATCCTGCTCAAGACAATTAGAAACTGTTCTGCACATATTTTTGGCAGTTCTTCCCCTTAAAAGTCGATTTCTACCATATCGACTTTATAAGGATGCTGATTAATAGTAATGTATCTGAGCAAAATCATGCGACAGCCTCAAAAACAAAGGACAAAACTGGCCCCAAACAAGCGGCTTTTCCCCATCGATATGCTCGACTGAATCGTAGCGTTGAAACCACAACGATTTATCATCTCTTGAGATACGGCAATTGTCATAGTATTCTCTTGCATTGACGTTACTATTTTACACCGTCGGATAAAGTCGATACAATTCAGTACTTGAAATAGAGCGAGAGTTGGTAGAACATTGCAGGAAATGTCATTTTAGCAAGAAAATGTTTGCAAATATTGGTGACATGAGGTCCTCCATCATTAAGAACAAGAAATGTCTGCGCAATTACGTGCCTATGAACTTGTAAGACACATATACGTTCTTTTGTATCCTATGAACCTTTTGCCTACTCCAAGCTATGCGTCACTTTTTCCCCAAGGCTTTACTACCGTCGTAGTATCGTCAACCTTCATCTGCTCGCTTAACAATGTACTCGAATCTACAGACAATTTTTCTTCGATGTCACAAATACCCGGCACCGTCTCGCCTTTTTGAATGAGATCCATCACTTCCTTGAATGACTCTGGATATGACGGCTCGCCAGCCGTCACAGTCGGAGAAATCAAGCTACTTGCCGACACGGGCATCTTCTCTTCGCTATCGCTGGCGTTAATCGCTGCAGAGGACGGAAGAGGGTTCGTCATACTAATGTCAGCATTAGCGATATTGCCAACGCTGGTTTGCTGTTCCAATCGTGCCATGAACTCGTCGAGACTCGTAGAGGTACGACCCAGTGACGCGCTGCTGCCGCTTTGCGTTGCTGAATGCTTCTCTTTGATGTTGTTAAACGAAGTTGTGCTAGTCTTGGTGGTGGTTGTCAACATTTCGGTATTCTTCTTAGTCTGCTGAGAGAAAAAATCTTCCAGACTGGTGTGTGCAATCTCCTCAAGCGATAGATTCGAAGAAGCATTCGGACTTGAGAGGGATTGAAGAGCTTTCAGCATCGCACGCAAGATGGCAATATTCTCATCGAATGCACCTGTCGTTTTGCTCGCTGTGTACCATTTCCACTCCATATTGAAACCTGACGTCTCAAACCCAATAGACTTGAGAAGTTCTTCGTGATGCTGCAGAACGGATAACCAAATGCTCAATACCGACATCTCGTACTTTTAGACTGTGCAAGACAAAGATTACCTTGAGAGGCTCGATCTTTTGCTTAAAGTTCGCATTACCGAGCGCAATGCGACGATAGCGGGGTACATCGGGGTTCTAAAGCAAGCATTGCACGAGGTCAAATACCACATCATACACGACTTATATAATGTATAGGTGGCAATACCTCGACGAGATTCTTGACATACATACTGAGGATACCCGCTGCCAACTTGAGTTGTTCAAGCGAATTCTGCATAAGAAGCGGCATATTAGGTATCGTACGGCAAATATACAAGCAGCATTTTCTCACTAACCTCAGTTCGTAGCTTTTTTAATGCGTTCTGCATGCGTTCGGCCTTGGACACCGTCTGTAAGACCACGGCAGGTGGTGCACTATTTGGTGTCGAGGCAGTTTCGCTTCCAGTCGTCAAAAACCTTTTCTTCTCCGTGTCTTCACTATTTTTCTTCACCACCACGTCAATTATATCCGAGTCACTAGCATTTGCTGTCTTTTTTTGAAGCAAAAGAGCCTTGAGCGTAGACATCTCAGCCTTCAACTCAGCAATTGATTGCGCATTTCCCTGCTGAGCAAGCGAGCTGGAAATCTGTGCACTTATCAACGTCTTGTTGTGTAAGTCACGCTCTTTTTCGTCCAGCGACACACTCATTTTGGCCAGTTCCTCCGTTTGCTTCTGAATAGCAGCTGAGACACTTGTTAATTCAGCTAGCAGTGCATCATCCTTTTTTGCTTCCTTTTCTTTTTCCGCCTGTACCTTGGCTGCTTCTAACAGACATGGCATTGGCCGCTACAATATTGTAGAAGTAATCCGCTCAGACAAGACGCTCCTCAATTCCTTTTTCAATATGTAACGTACCAGCCACGGAATGTATCCTGATTGTACTGCATAGTTCCATATAAATGTGAGGATCGAAGCTGCACCTACGAGCGACGACACTGTCCACAGCACTTGAACATAGGCAGGATATCGTCCTCGACGATGTATCATCTGATGCATGGGCGTATCTGCAGCCCTCATCATCATGGGTGTCGTCTTCATCTGCTGCTGTTGTTGTTGGATTGTCGTCGATTGATCTGTAAATGCTCTTGTATCGCTATTTTCATGGCGTTTAATGGCCTCTTGAATCTCTTCTTTGCTCATGCCTTTTCCTTCCAAGAATGACACACGTTCCGATAGCGGCGTTGACTGCAAAGAAAAGAAAAAAAGCGACAGTGTCAAGCTTTATACAACAGAAAAAATGAGATACGAGGTCATTCACCTGAACATTCGGATGCTGAAGAAATTTGAGTCCACTCACCACTTGATCCTCACGCATTTGAAGAACTTGAATCTACCGAATGACTAAAATGGAACGTAATCTAAGAATTAACCCTTAAATTAATGATAAAAGTGAAAACTAGTTTAATTACTACTCTTCACTCCCGCCAGTCAGTAAATTTTACATTATCAAAAAAACGTCGTGAGTTAAATATGACGCCACCAATGAAACGAGTGAAAAAGAATGAAGGACACGAGAAGTCCGACACTAATGAGCCGGCATTTGAGAGACGTAATCCGTCGCATATTAAAAACAAAATGAAACGACAGGCTGTGATGCAAAAGTTTCGTAAAGAAAAAAAGGAAGCAAAGAAAGCGGCACAGCTCAAGCGTCGACGCGAGGCCGAGGAGTTGGGCGAGGAGGCACCACCCAAGATGGAGCCGCGTACAATTGATAATACACGTGAGAAAGAGGTGACAATGGTCAGTCATACAGGTGATGAGGAAATTGATGCTGATGAGCAAGATGACGAGTTTGCCAGCATCTTTGCTAATGAAGAAGCGCCCAAGCTTATGATTACAACGCGCCCATTTCCAAGTGGGGAGCTATACCACTTTGTAAAAGACCTTATGGACTTGATGCCCAATTCATTTTACTACAAACGAGGTACCTTTGACATAAAGGAAATTGTGCAGTTTGCAAGTAACAAGAAATTCACGCACTTGATCGTGCTCTCTGAAAAAAGCAAGATTTGCAATGGGTACATTTCTGAGAGCTACAATGATTCCTGCAATTGTTTGTAACTGCTGCATATTAACTAACTTTGCTTTATTTGTTGCGACTTGTAGCATGCTCGTCAGTCGTTTGCCCAAGGGTCCAACAGTATTCTTTAAAGTGTCAAACGTCAAGTTAACGGCTAGCATTAAGGAGCGTGGTCGACGCACCAACCATCAACCCGAGCTGATTCTCAACAACTTTTCAACGCGACTAGGCCACCGCGTGGGCCGATTTCTGGGCTCACTGTTTGAGCATCAACCGGAGTTCGAAGGTCACCAGGTCGTGACGTTCCACAACCAGCGCGATTTCATTTTCGTACGAAATCACCGCTACACATTCGAGAACGAGAAAAAGGCACGGCTGCAAGAGATTGGGCCTCGGTTTACGTTGAAGCTGCGTTGGCTGCAGGAAGGCACATTTGACACCAAGTTTGGCGAGTACGAGTGGGTCTACAAACAACACCAGCTTGACACGTCGCGCCGGAAATTTCACCTGTAAGCACTCAGTATCATTCGTTTACACAAATGCTTAAACACACACTACAAGATTCCTTTTATCGGTTCACATTGCATTAAAATTCCACACAACTAGATGTTACAGTCCCAGCAGCATCACATGTTACTTACCTAAACCACATGGTTGTTCACAACTCACGATCCGATCCTTCTCAACCGTCCGTTTCGATCAGAGCAAAGTGCTACCAACCATACAAATGTATAGACACAGATATTGCAACAATGAAATTTCACCCGTTGACAAGAGACACTTGCAATTGCTACGTATTGGTACAGTCACGTATGTGTGGGTGACTGACGTGTCACATTTTGTTACTGTTGCAGCTTCTAGACTTTGCTTCAGCAAATTACACCATGCACGCATCAAGACATTAGTGGTACTAAGCAAAGATAACCGTTTCTTTTCAGCAGTTAAAAATTATCTAGGGTGCCACGTGCATCAAAGCAGGTGCTTCCGTAACTGTGCAATGTCATTGAGCTCTCTCCGTCATCAAGTCATGCAAAAGTATCTTCTTGCTAGTCTTCACAGCTTCTGGACACCTATGTCACCGTCTGCTTCCAATGCAGCAGTCCACGTCGTCTTCCTCGACAAACTTATTCGTTGGTTGCCTCCATCAGGTACGCAATCAAATCGCGACGCTCCTGTGGCTTTTTCAAGCCAGCAAACACCATCTTTGTGCCCTTAATATACTTCTTAGGGGCTAAAAGGTACTCGAACAAAGTCGCATCCGTCCACGTAACGCCTGAGTTCTTGTTAGCAGCCGAGTACGAGTAGCCTTCAGCCTGACCAGACTGGCGGTTAATCATACCATGAAGATTAGGGCCTTGCTTGTGGGCGCCTCCAGCGTTTAAAGTATGGCACTGGGCGCATTTGGTCTTGAAGATCTTCGCACCCTTAGCAGCATCTCCTTTTCCACCAGCTACATCAACCATTGAGTTTTTGTATGTAAAAGATAAAAAAAGTTTTAGTGGTGCTTGTGATACAGCGTCTTTAAAAGTGTGATAAATATTAAAATTGGTTGGAAATAAAACCTCAGTTACGAGGTTTAATGAAGCCCAACGTGGGGACGCGAAACGACCGAAAACCGCCTTCTTTCTCGTGAACCAATCAGAAATTGTATAATTTGCTTGCAAAAGTATACACTAAAGTTGTGGCTGACATGCCCTTCACCATTCAAAATGTGACAAGCTTTTTTTATCACGGCATACGGTCAAAACGACGGGCCAATCATGCTACGCATAGTTAGGTGTCGTTCGTTACAAACTGATAATTGAGAATAAGTATCTTTAAAAGCGTATTTGGAGCAATGATACTGACGACGTCAAATCAGATCATGCCTTTTTGGTAAATATTCCAATTTGGTAGTGTGGGCAGATCGGAGTCAGAACGCGCAACATTGAAGAAATGGTAGAGCGTAAGCCATTCGTGTCAAGCGAAACCTAAAAAGACACTTCTCAAGACTTTTTGTTCGCTACTTGAAATATTACACTGAATTGAAATACTGAAAATTACGTAGATGGCCAAAACTAGAGAATTTATTTTCTGTATCTTGCAACTATGGCCCAAACTAAAGCTATATGCACATTTCAAATTTGATCTTTCTCCGTTTGGCTGTAAATTATAATCAAATTTATGAATATCAGCTTGAATATTGAATTGTTTTGACAACAGTAGCAAATATAAAGTTAAATTGTATTGATAAGAATTAATCGAACTCTCCACCAATTAAGCGCGAAACCTCTTGTTCCTCATGTCGTCTGCAAGGTACAATATCTCTCCTCTCTCTCAGTCTATCTCTAGTCTCTCACACATACTCATTTTCTTGTTAATTCTTGGTCTTATACTTATGTCTCCTCTTTCCAGTCGAACCACGTCTACTGCGCAAGAAGACGAGTACTTCCCGTCTTTTTTAACGGCTCTGCAATCGACGCCCAAGGCCGATAAGTCCAAGGAGAGTACTCCTCACTCTCGCTCTGAGACATCACTGCTGTTTTCTAATGGAAAACCACGTCTGACTTTTGCGGAGAGCTTGTCCATGAACCGGAACAAGCAGCAGAGCGTGGAAATGCCCGAGGACTCACCATTTAACTTTGGTGGCAGCTACCAGGACAAATTGGGCACTCGGAGACGCAAGAACGCATCATCTCAGGGTGCTACCAATAGCAACAATACTCAAGACGAAGATATACTACCACCACCGACGATGTCGCTGCTGGATCCGGTCGGCTTCGCAGCAGGATCTCACAATGTGGACGACGACGAGGCGGCCGCAATGGCGGCGGCTGCTCGACGTAGTGCAGCAGTGCAGCCTTCGTACTACCCAAACGTGCATGCTGACGAGTGGGGTCAGGACAAACAGTATTGGGTCACGGTGTTTGGCTTCCCGTCGAGTGCCAAATCTTTTATCCTACACCAGTTCCAGGCCGTGGGGGAGGTCGTGAACTACTCCAGCAGCACCGGTGGCAATTGGCTGCACCTGCGCTACCACACAAGACTGCAGGCAGAGAAGGCACTGGGCTATGACGGACGAACGCTTGCGAACAACATTATGGTTGGTGTTAAAAAGTGCTATTCGTCTGATAGAGACGCAAATGCCCTCAACGAGACACCTACGTCTAGCTACTTCGGTGCGCAAGCACGACAGAGCCTGGGATCCCGGAACGTAGAGGTGGACCCTACTGACGCCGACATCATGCTGCCTCCGAGGCGCCAACAGGACATGTGCTCGCGGCTTTTGAACTATCTATTTAACTGGTGACGAGGCTGTGACTTATGAAGAGGAGTGTGTACCGAGCAGAGTAGCGGATGTGGAAGGAGCGGGCCAAAAATGGCCAATTGCACGGGCAAGAATGGAAAAAGGTAGGTCGGAGCAAGTTGAATTGAGCTCTTATCGTATGTTGCAATGTGCTCGTTTTGTTGAATAAAGGGCATGGTGATGTACGTAAATCTTTATCGCAAACGGCGGCGATATGAGGCCTTCAGGTTTAAAAACACGAAGAACTTAACGACATTCGCAATGTTTTTTTGAAATTTAATAAACAATTCGCACTCGCACTTTTCTTTTTATTTGTTAAAACCATCTTTCTCGTCTTTTATTTTTTTCCTAAAAAGCCACTTTTACTCCTCAATCTTCATCGCCTCCATGCTTCCGTCCATTGTCCCCCGTCTCCAGCAGAAAATCATGGAGCACCAAGTCGTGGTCAATAGCCCCAAGCTCACAGCCTTTCTGGGTCATCCTGCTGGACCCTTTACCGTGCACTTTTGGGCACCGACTATCAAGTGGGCGATCTCCATTGCTAACGTCGCCGACATGCGGCGCTCACCCGAGACCATCTCGGTGGCTCAGCAAACAGCTGTGACTGCTACAGGTCTCATCTGGTCGCGCTATAGTACGGTCATCACCCCCAAGAACTGGAACTTGTTTGCTGTCAACGTCTTCATGGCTGGCACTGGATTCGTGCAATTCTACCGCAAATTTACATACGACCCCAAGCAGTCGGACATTTAGGTCGACGACAACAGTTCAGTACAGTTAGACAGTAGAGTATACCCTACCTCAGACTTTACGTAGCTTAGTTAGCTGTCGCTTTCAAGAGGGTACGAACTACCGTCTAATGATCTGATTACATGGGTATTGTGTGTCTTGACTTAGGACAGATGTAACATTCATGGCTTTTTCTGGCTAATGCAAGTTCTTGTCTTACCTGATGCTAATCAGATAATTAATACATCTCAACTTGCAGCCGAGTCAATCGCGACAGCTAAATAAGTATTTTAATGGTAGGTTTAGACCATGATAATCGAAAAGCTTAAAAAATAAATGACTATATAAATACTGTAAGAAGGAGCCTCGCGTCACCTTGACGCCTAGTCCCAACTGGCGAGATCTCCGATGAATGTGAATCCATCCATAACTATCAAATTCACGAGGGTGGGTGCCGCACCCAAGTGGCAGGCCTAAGGTACCTCGTACCCTTTTAGGCCTGCCCGTTACGTATTCGATACTTAACGAACCGTGTAACTTTTAGCCCGTTACACTGATTGTATCTGGACAGCGACAAACAAGGCTAGGCGACCAAACATGTAACAGGGCATCTAGTCACACGTAAACATTAAGTAATATACTTAATGTTTGGTCTAAAGATATCTATGATTACTTTTGACCTGTCACTTGGGTGCGATACACAAATGTGATCCACCCTCGTGAATGTGATATCCATTGATGGATTCACATGAGAAGGGATGACGCTAGTTGAAGCTAGGCATCGCGACGTCTCAGAAGGACGTTAGTTGCGATCTTAAATATAGATTTAAGATCATGCGACAGGATACGCTTCTATAGAGTCGCGTATCCGATCTATATATATATATATATAGCCAACCAGTAGTTAAGTATATATTTAGTTATAATTAATTAAATATAGCTCAGTCTTGAATTTGCTTAAACATACGCACCACGCACGAGAAGCTGAAAAGCTTCTGCGTGACGTCGGTGCCTTCTTGTTAAGAGGTTCGTTGCACGCGAAGGTAAGACGGTTTAACCGCTTCCTCGCTTGTGCATAAGGTGTGTGCTCGTAGTACGAGGCAACTTCGTAGAAGTGCCCGTCTACACTTGGTAGCACTAGTAGTCCTTCCCACGACCCGTCTCTCTAAGCGTGCGTGTGGTTAAGATGGTCCTTAATATGGACTGGAGTGACTTCCCTCACCTCTCCAAACATCATAGGGAGTTGGCAGAGCATATGGCACAGGGACTTGGTGAACAAGCCCTGGTCAATCTCTTGCATAGTCCTCCTGAGCAACATGTTGCTCAGTTGGAGCAATTCGAGGCGTTTGTGCTCGGACAGCGACGCGTCCGAGGTAAACAGCCAAGCCACCGCTGAATCCATCACTAAGACTCAGGATAAGCTTAGGCTTGAGCAGGCAAGTAATGAGACGCTCAACAGAACTGTTGAGACGCTCTCTGCCCGGCCTGCTCAACCGAGGCCCATTCGGATGGACCCTCCAAAGTTCGATGGAGCTAGCCCTCACACGATTGCTTACTGGCTATTAACAGTGGAGCAATGTGGAGTGGCGCAACTCATCGAAGACGACACCATTCTGGTGTCGTATGCCATGTCCAACTTGCGTGGCAAAGCGTCAGAGTGGGCATACTCTGCGCTGATGGCTAATGCTGATGCATTTCCATCATGGGCGATGTTTAAGACAAAGATTCGCGCCATGTATCAACCGCCTAACAACGAAGTGTTGCTTATGGCGTGCTTCTTTGGAGCACGACAGGCGAAACGATCTCTTCAAGAGTATTTACAGGAGATGCGTTCGCTGTCTGCGTCCATATTAATGTGAGTCCGATACCGAAACACATTAAGGTGACCAAGTTCATGAACGGACTACGGCACGGCCCATCGCGTCAGGCTCATTTTAGAAAGGTGCCAGCGACGATGGAGGAGGCAATTGACATTGCCTTAGTTGAGGAGCAATCCTACAACAGCGCCTCTGCGACAGCCCATAACAGGCCGTCGGCCGAGAAGTCTGATGCCACTCCTATGGAGTTAGGCAATGCAGATGTGATCTGCTACAAGTGCGGCAAGCGAGGCCATATGATGGCTCGCTGCTACGCCAAGGTAGCTGCTGGTGCTAAGGCAGCCAGCAAAAGGTCTCCAAACCCGAAGGGAGGTGCGAAAAACCAGCGTGCACGACGCACGGGTTCAGCACCTGCCCAAGATGGGTTGGGAAATGCGGGAGCGCAGTAGGGGCGGGATGCCCTACTGTCGCGGACTTTGAAGCTACCCCTAAGTTCAGAGTGATCGAAAAAATGGGGTAGCATAGTCCCTGAGGTTCCGAAAGGTCGGACCTCAACCCTTTTGGTCTATAGCGCTCGAATACGAGGCTATGACCAAGTAATGTCCCTTCTCGTGGATTCGGGTGCATCACAAAACTTTGTGAAACTCGCGGCTCTGAAAAAGAGTCCATCGAGTTATGAGTGCTTTGCCAGGATGGCAAGCGAGAAGAGTCGGTCGTTCGTTTAGCGAACGGCGCGCTCGTTAAATAAGAGGGAGTTCAGGTTGAACTCGCCTTCAGTTTCAGTAACTTCTCTTGTAAAAAGAAGTTCACAGTGCTAGGTATGGAGAGTCGGTATGACCTCATCCTAAGCATGCCTTTATTGGCTAAACACCAACCATGGATAGACTGGCGTACACGCACAGTCGCTAGCTCTACGCAAGACACCGGAAAGGATGTGCTCTTGCGAGAGGCTTATGTGGCTGATGCTGTGTCCAACACAGTCGAGAGTGCGATGACGGTATGTCAATCGACACCAGGAACTACCCAGATCGAAAGGAGTGGTGTAGTTGGAAGTGCACTGGCGGAAAGCCAGGTGACACATATTCCTACCCACTGGTGTAGTGAATGGGGCGATGACAGATAGTCATGCGTCCAATAGTCCTGCACAGAGCCTAGAGCCTGTGGCAGTTGATGGTGGGCTGACAGAAAGTCAAGCGCCACAAGAATTGGCATAGAGCCATGAGCCTGGTCCGGTTGGAAGGAGTGCGTTGACTAATACAACAACGACACCTTCTTCCAGGTAAAAGGTCGTGGTGACTCAAAGAACGAGCACCAGACGTATTAAGACGATCAAGGGCACGTCGAAATGAGTGACCCTTATCTCAGTCTCGGTCCAAGAGGACGGACCTACGAACGAGTTGTTCGAGGCCGTCGAAGACAAAATGCCGGAGGCATCCTCTGTTGAGGTGCTCCAACTTGTCTTGGTATCTGCCGAGGAGATAGTAAATCTCTCGGAGATGACGTGGAATCTGTTCCTGTCCGAACTAATGGAAGGAAAGATCCACGAGATAGTCGCACCAGTTCCAGAAGAGAACGTGGTGGACTGTTGCTCTTCATCCACAATAGATGAGAGCGTCTTGGAGACCGACAAGAAGAAACGGTTTGATGCTCAAGGCTGGGATGTCTTGAAGGACAGCCCGTTCTATGATGTTCTGTGGAAACACCGTGATGTCTTTCCAGCAGAAGTGTCGAGCCGCCTACCGGCCGATAGAGGCATCAGGCACGAGATTGACCTGGACCCTGGTACCAAGTATTGTGTGACCAGGCAATGGCCGTTGCCGAAGGAAAAAGTCGATTACATCGATGAGTTCTTCGACAAGCGAACTAAGGCGGGACATGTACGTGAGAGCAAGTCGCCTCACTGCAGCCCGACCTTCTGTGTGCGTAAAGCCACAAGTGGATGGCGCGTGGTTCATGCTTATAATAAGCTGAACACGGCCACCATTCCGGCTAAAATGCCGATCCCGCGGAAAGATGCCTTGTTGAATTCCATGGGAAAGTCAACTATCTTTTCCGCGTTGGATCTGAAGGATGGCTACTATCAGGTTCTCATGCAAGATACCGATGTAGCCAAAACGGCAGTAAGCACCCCAAGCGATTTTCGCGGTCAAGTCCAAGCTTCAGCCTCTTATCAAGGATATTTACTCTGGCGATGATCCTCCCTTGCGGGAGCCAAAGTCGGTGGGGTCATGTCTCATGCATGCATCTCGTGCGGCCACCGGTCGTGCGGACTGCAGATCAAGGGAAGATAAACCGGCTGGTGGCGTCCCCATGCCACGCGTCATCGCTTAGGCGATAGCGTACTCCAAGTTTGAAGAGCCGTTCAAGCGGTTATAACGGGGGCCACACTTCACGACACGCGCCGTCGCTCCGGCGACCGCGCACTTTTGAACAAACGGGCCGCTCGAGCGGCCTGTAAGGACATAAACAACGGTATATACCTGCATCAGCAAAGCCAAACAATCCCGAGAGCATTACTGCTGGTGGCCAGCCCGTACAAGTAACGGACTCGATCGAGCAGAGTGGCTTGTGATGCCACAAGGGTTGAAAAATGCTCCGGCAACATTCAACCGAGTGGTGGCTCACGTGATGCGTCAGCACCGTGCCTACGCGCCCCATTACTTTGACGATGTATTCGTGCATAGTAGGGCGGAGGACGGTCTGAGCGCGATAGAGTCGCACAAGCTTCATTTAGACGCTGTGTTGCAGACTCTGGGTGACGCCCAATTATACGTGAACTTGCAAAAGTGTGTAATAGGGGTCCCCGAGATACCTGTACTGGGCTGCATCGTAGGTGCACATGGTGTACGAGCAGACCCAGAAAAGGTAAAGGCTGTAAAGGAATGGCCAGTCTCACGACACGTGAAGGATCTGCGCCAATTCCTTGAGCTCGCTAATTACTTGCATAAGTACAGCAAGAATTATGCGGAGCAGACAAAGCCATTGTCTGACCTTTTAAAAAAGGATACAGAATGGACTTGGTCAAAGGAACAAGAAGATGCGTTCACTTCAGTGAAGCAATCTCTTGTAGAGGCACCGATCTTGGTATTGCCAGACGCGGATAAGCCTTTTAGCGTCGTCTGTGATGCAAGCAATTTTGCAATCGGCAGCGCGCTCATGCAGAAGGATGACAACGGGGTTGACCGTGTCATTTCTTATCAGTCTCGG